TTTCTCTAAACAGCTAATTCTAAGTGTAACACGCTTAAGTGAAACTGGTTTTTTACTCAGTTACGGTGGAAATATGACACAGCATAACGTCAGATATACTAAACATAAACATCAACACAGCAATAAAACAATAAACAACGTAGTAACATGCTAACAACAATAATATCTTCTGCTACGTGAGGGTCTGGAAGGGGTACGGGACATCGCTCCGGTAGTTTAAGACAGTGGTCATGCATACCACTCACCAAAGACATCCTATCGCTACCAAAAACTCATAAAATGCTGCACTTTTATGAATCCGATGGGTTGGATAAACGTTGAGCAGACGTTGGCAACGGTCCACGAGGGTTAACACACCGGATGAACCATTCAAACGCTAAAAACGTTCACAGATGAACGAAAACCAAGGAAATAGGCGCTGGCTTCCAAGTCAACCTGAACAACAACTACAGCAACGTAAGTCACAGGAGGTGATCAGTAAACGAACTTCGAACGTCATCAAGATCTATGTAGTCAATCACAATACGAGAACGACATCGATGAGCACATTTATCGACGTCGGTATCAAGAAAACGAAGAAAATGCAGACTCTTTCACTGAAATAAGAGAAAACCGAAGACCTACAATGGAAAAAGGGAGATCAAGCGTCATTCACGACGGCGATCAGACCGGCGGCATTGGGTTCAAAATAAAATCGAAGACTGCCATTTGTAGTGGGCTGTAATACTGTATCATTTTTTATAGCAAACCCGCTGCCACAGATCTACGAAAAAGAAGCATAATCTAAAATAATCAAAGCCTACGGCCCACACCAACAAGCTAAAAATGACGAGTTCGAGTAATTCTATGAGGAACTGCAATACACAGTGAAAAATACAATGCACATGACTGTCCAAGGAGAATTCAACGAAGTGATCAGAAAATGAACGGCACGGAGAATTTATCGGTAAAATCGAAAGAAATAAATGTAAAGATCGCTTCACAACTTTCACTGAAAGCAATCACATCCACATCATGGCCAAAGTTTTAATGAAAGCTCCAAAGCAATGATGAACATGGAGAAATCCAGAAGGAAAGTCTATTAATCAAATCGACCATATACTTACTGAGAAGCAAAAAATATCAGATGTCGGGAATATCAACCGTACAGGGTCAAATCAGGAAGTGACGAACATGTTTCAGGGAACGATCGATATCGCAAAATCGAAACGGATCGAAAAATCCTAAAGATCACCGCTTTATGCAGAACTGCGATTCGATCCAGAAGTTTAGGTGGAGAAGAGGCTATTAATTAAACTTAAATTGATGGCAATGAATGAGTATGACCATTTTACTAACGCCATCAAGCATTCCGTGAGAATATCAAGCCGGACAGCAAAGTCAATGAGAGACCAATGCATCGGCATTTGAAAAGCAGCCAGTGGCTAAAAGAGTCAAGCCCAACTGAAGGCCAACGAGAAAATGAACAATTTGCACGTAGTATTCTGCATATAACACAGAAAGAAGACTACGAAAATTACAAGAGAAACAACGGAGAGTAACAAATGTGCAACGAAATACTTGTCTAAAATAACGAGTTCGAACTGAGTTGAGAGTCGGAGAAGCAAGGACTGCTAATCACAAATGGTTGAAAGCGATTTGCCAAAATTTCTACAGCAACATCTGTTCTTCAAAGGTAGGGGTGAATTGGAAGTTGCCAAACGTGGCCCCAGAAGCCGTTCCAAAAGTCACTTGGCACGAAGTTGAGTGTGAATCAGAAATATCGAAGAAATGAAATGCAGATATCGGAATTGACCGTTTCCAAGTAGTTGCGAAGTTTCTTCAACAACAACCGTAGGAACTTCCCGGAAAGGGGAAACACCACTTTCATATGGATAAATTGAAGGATCAGATCACTCATAAGGCTTTCCAGGTGGAGAAATCATTTTTGGACGATAAAGGGAACCAAACAGGCTTTCAAATTCATACACGGACAACATCGTTGCAGTGAAGCGAATCATCAAGCAGTGCCAAAGTTTCGAACTTCATTGAGACGCGACGTCTCTGGACTTTCGAGTAGCCTTCATTTCAGTTCATCATCAGACCTGTGGCGTGTTGTTCATCACTATGGAATTCCACATGCAACGGTAAAACTGGTAGCAGGACTACACTAAGGAATAAATTCACCATCCAAACTAAAGGATTACTGTCGGACTGTTTCAACATACCAGCGCAGCTCACTAAGGAGAATAGCTCTTTCCTTTGTTGTTCAACATCACGATGGACAACGTTACGCCGAAGTGCAAAGTCCAAAATAACAAGAAGGTCAGCGACGCAGTTCGAAATACCCGGCCATATTCTCGGCAGTTTAAGGATATTATGAAATGGTGTTACGATAGGCAATCTACATTATTTCAAGTACCCTGGAACTGGGTTAATCAACAATGGCGAGATTGACTGTGAAGTGAACCGGTGAATTTGACTGGTACCCGCCAAATATGCCAGGGTGTATGACATATGGCAGGATCCGATTACAAAAATGGACATGATGATCGCCATTTCGAAAGCAGTCGAAACACCTGTCATCGTTAAGTGTTATGATGCTCGTTTAGACAGCTTCCAACAATGTTGTTTGCGCAGCACCCTTGAAGATCGATGGTACGGTCGAGTCACGAACGAGCAGGTGCTGACAACGACCGGTATGAAGAAACTGTCAGATGAATTCAGAGACCGGTGCCTGCCTGGCTTCGTTTGATAAAACAACTCGAAAACAAAATATAAATATATGGAAAACTTTCCTCCCATGGGAACTGCGCACTGTCCTCAGACGTGTGAAAGGATAATACAAAACGTAGAAACACGTTGCTGAGGCAGGCCTGTCCTGCCTCGAAGAGAACGAAGACGATTCCTCTAGCAGTGGACACTGCTCGATAGTAAACCGAAGTACCGTTTCTAACAGTCAGACGTCACAAGTCTCGTCACTATGCTTTTTAAACTCCGTTAACTTCAGATAACGAAGACAAAATAAAAACTGCCGGAAGATCGGTCTTCCATACACTTTAATGACGGCACCTCTTCTGGAGTCCTTCTTTTCAAGAAATTAATGCTGACATTAAATTTTATGTCCATATCATTCGCCAGAAGTGATTATTTTTAAAGGCATAGTCAACAGCAGCTACGTGGCAAACACAGTGTATAATCTCTTGTTTCCTTGTCACAGAATGGTACTCATTTATTAACCTTGAAAGGAAGAAAGGGTGTTGATCCGACCAGAGACTGAACCCCAAACATCTCGGTTCTGAGTTCAATCGTCTATCAACTGAATTAATCTGTAATCTGGAATTAATATCGTGAAATCAACAGCAGGGAACTTTCAGTGTAAATGTGAAGCGTCATTTCAACCTTGTATGACAATAACAAATTACTCTGCGATTGTTGCAATTATCGTCTTCTGAACCTGAAATAACAGTGTATATTATCCTAGATCAGAAATATCTTACCAAGCCGATCAGATGAATTCTTCCGTTCTTCGAGATGGCATGTTCGCAGGCGGCCTTGTAGGTTTTGTTCTCAGCCACCTTATTGTTGTCAACGGTCATGTTGATACGCACGATATCCTGAAAATCAAAAGTTAATGCCGTTAATTTACTTCGCATAATTTATTTTGCAACGTATTAAAAACGTCTTTCAATGTCAACGCTCTTACTTATGCAGTAAAGAATGTACAACAAACCAAGTGCAAGAACTAGAATTCATTGTTACGGCAGTTATGAAGATTGACATCTGGCTTAGAACCAGAACTACATGCAGATACTGGAGTTCCAACAGTAGTCTAAATATAAGTGCAGGAGGAGTCCAACTATGAACAATCTTAAGGCAGGTATAAAATCTAAACGATACAAACGGAGAAATATACAAAATCTTATTCGCTGCTTGCAAAGGGTCTTTTTATTTCAGCTAGGAATATTGACTTGCATGTAAAAGAATACAACTGGAAAGAACCGCTTAACGATAATTTGGTATACACTTATGAGGTTATGTCCTGTATGTCCCTTAATTGATAGCTTCAGGTTTATTCCACCCTGGACGGACGTACGAGGGTTTACAAGAGATTCAATTGAAAGTGGCGGGCAGGAAGAAGTTAGTACGAATAGCAAAAGTTGTGTCAATCGCTGTCAAAAGTCTGACAATTCGGTTCTGGGTTTGTGAGTGGGTTGGGCTGCCCTCAGTGCAGTTGTGGAGTCAGGCAGAAAACGATGGCCAATTCAACCTCAGCTTGATTCCACTAACCCACTGGTTTGGTTCGGACCTATCTACAACAGGCAGGAACGTCTGATCCTTCCCTGTGGCGTCGGTGAGTACGGGCTGTGCCGCCACGTTAATGGATTTGGATTTAACTTGCTAAAACAGAAAAGCAAAAACAGCTAGATCATTATATTTCGGTTCTGGAAGCAAAAATGCAGAAACATATGTCTTGTGAAACTCAAAGGCATGCGAGGCTACAAAGATTACAGTACAATATGTACGTAGCGTTGCATCATAATACCTCGGACTCACTACTGACATAAATATTGATCTGGTGATACGCGGCTAAGGTGTCATAATGTAAAGTACATATGAACAGAAGCTCGTTTTTCTACCGAGAATTCATATGCTCCCTGGCGATACCCAATGACTGTATAATAAATGAGGGTAAAAAGGGCACGAATTGTGTTATGCATCCGTTTTTCAGGTGTCATTCATCTGTAGCTCTGTTCCCTTGGAAGGACAGAGCGGAACTTCATATAACCCAATACCCGTTCGCTTCAGAGAATTTTCCATAGCAAGATGGAAATTGATTAAATGCGTTTCATTCATTTGAAGCCGAGATTTTGGAAGGCCATGTCGAGTTCAACTTAAATAAAAGTCCATGCTTCTGTCAGAAGAGTTGAAAGCGCACCACACGGCTAAAGCGAGAAGATTGAATAAAGCCATGTGTTCATAACTAACTTGGAATGGCGGAGTCACGAATCACTAGGCCTTCTAAACCACTTGTCTAAAAAATGCTTAATTATTCTGGTGCAACTGCCCAGAATGGCGGCAGTTAAAATAAAGCTAGTCAAACATGAAACCTTTTACGCTTAACTTTTTAATCATCTATCCATCTAAGATTCTGATAAATGTTCTAAAACTCAGTAATAAGCCTTCAACAGGTACGACTGGATGAATCGCATGTGGTTAACAAAATCAGACAAATTAAGAAATAAACTCAAATATCGGGTCCCTGGTCTGGCGTGACAAAATGCAATCATCAATGACGATGAAAAGTTTAGTTTCCTACCGGTGACACAGCAGACATATTAATGATCAACATAATTTGAAAAATATACCACTGGCCAAGGATGGGACAACCACCAAAATTCAAACTTCATAGAATGAAGCACAGTAGCTTCCAAGCAAATTATGCCTTCATTATGCGTAGATTTTTTACCCCATCATAAAAACAAATACATCAGATAACCTGGTAAAGATGCATACTCTTACAAATGGCGAACGAAACTTCCGACAGCAGTGGACAAC